GCCATTATTTCTTTCCCACAATTTTTCTTGTTTTCTCTCTCTTTTTTTCTTTTTCTTCTCTTTTTTTATTTCACGGTTATGATCGAATCCTATGGGGATTGACGCCGCATGAATCAGACCAAGCGTAGTTCTGGGGCATGTGCGAGATAAAATAATATAAAATACATTTTTGGGGTTTTCAAATTTTCACAGAATAAAATAAAATAAAACATCTTGATTACGACAACTTCCCCTACATAATTAAACATAAAGACTGACATACTAGATGACTGGACTGACTACTTCAAAAGAAAACTGAAAATACAGACTCGCAAATAAACTAACAAACTTAAAATACAGACTCGAAAAATAACTAACAAAATACAGACTCGAACAAACAAAGTCAAAAATACATAAGTGCCTCAATTGCTGCTCCAGTTGGCCTTGTTACGGGCCTTTGCACCATATCTTCTTGGAGGCGAAACAAGTCATCCATGATCTGTCGGACAAAAATCATAACTGAAGCAAAGAACATGGATCTGGTCATGACTTCACACTCGTTGCACTTCATCACAATGTAGTCCGCAATACTCCTAACCCTTTCTGATAATACCCTTTTCTTATAGCAACCATCCAATCTGCTGAGATCTGGCCCCCAAAACTTGTTCAGCTGTATGATTCTGCTCTTGAAGCTGGTGCAGGTTTTTTTCTAGCTACGACATTAGGGCATAACAGTGTTCTCTTTCTGCTTTGAAATCTTTTGCCAGCTTGGTCATTTTGTTCTCAAGGACGGTGATCTTTTTCTTCAACCCCACAACTTCATTGTCATATTTCTCTTTTAACTGTTGAACCAAGCATGTTCGTTCCTACGCATTCTTAGCCAATTTTGTTCGAGCTCTTGCCAGTTCGCCCTCGGCCTTGTTCAGATCAAAACCATATTCACCCACTTTCTGTTATTTATAAATTTTTCATCTTTTGCACTTCTAGCGGGGTTTTCCGCTGCTATTTTCATTTTCTGAATTTGGGCTCGGAGGGCGTCATTTTCTTTGCTAGCTATTTCTTTTCACCCTCATCCGCAACGGCTTGCAAACCATTCTCAAATTGAAGATCTATAACTTGCTTTTCCAGCTTGCTTATGGTGGCCCTATACTCATTTTCTTTGGTCAACCAGTCCCATTGTTCCTGTGATGCCTCGACAAATTCTTGAAGATGGGGTCTTTTGGCTGGTCTTCCAAACTCAACACTTCTTTTGTACCAGGCGAGGTAACCGGGCGAGACTTCACCTTTGGATAGATCACGCACTTGGGTGTTTGCTATCAAGTACTGACACTCACTCCAGATCTGGCGAACTGCCGCTTCATGAAACTGACCATCAGAACCGGTCTCGACTACCTGAGTGTTAAGGTCTTCGTCCTTTGGAACTATTTGACATCTCCTCAGCTGTCTCAAAACTCGGTACAGAGCATAAGGCTGTATATTTCTGAGACCCATCAAGAGGAAGTGAGGACCGGCGATCGACATGTATATGATTTCATCAACAGGAAGCCAACCCAACTTCCATTCTATTTGATTGGCAGTGATGGAGCAGAGGTAAGATATCCATTCTGCTACCCCTTCAGGCATGTTGAACCCGTCAACCCTTGTATAAAACTCCTTTATACAGCTCTCTCCCGTTGACCCATGGTTTATGTACTGGGGATGATGACATAGATGCTTAGTCATCGACATTTGTAGCAACAAGTTACACCTTACGAAAAAGTATACTCCGGTTTTGCAGGCTGTGAGAGCTCGGAATATTTCAGAACCTATCATGGGTGTGAGGGTGCTTTTGGCCTGGGTAAGCAAAGTGTTGACGACCCCGGCTACCTGTACATCGATATTTCCATCCTTCTTGGGAAACACTAAAAGACCCAAAAATACTACCATGAAGGCGAAACATCTATGCTCTTCCCATTTTAGTCGATTCCCTTTGCTGCAAATTTTGCTCTCCGGGTTTTCGAATCCCCTTATGTGTCCGTACCACTGGTATATGAACTGTGGAGTAGAAAACCCAACCGCCAAATCTGCATATTGGACCCCCTACTTATTTTTAGCAAATCAAGAAACTTGTTAGGGGTGACGGCTCTCGGGGCAACCCGATATTTATGTCTCAAAGCTTCGGTACTCCCAATATAACCAGCTATCTCTTCTAAAGTGGGTGTGAGTTCAAAGTCCGAAAAATGAAACACGTTGTGGGCTAGATCCCAAAATGTAACCAATACTTTTATTATGTCTCCTCTAGGCCTGATCTTCAATAACCCGGTGAGACCCCCCAAGTACTGGTTGACCACATCTCGTCCTGATTTTCCCAGATCTTCCTACTACATGTACAGTTCCAAAGGAAACTTGGTCATGACCTTTATTGGCAAGTATTGACTCGTGCTCATTCTGCACATTTAGATTAGGGTGATTGGTTTACACACAAAGTGAATCTCGTTAAAAAAACTGACAAAAGGGGTTTTTTTGCAAAAATCAAGAAAACAGAGCTACTTTTGCGAATACGGCCCTTCAACACTTGAAATGGAAGCTTTAGGGTTGTGCTGGCTATGTGGCCAAAATTTGACAAAAACACAGTCAGCGGCTATTCTTGCAAAAATAGCCCTCAGGTGTCCCGTCCGGACATTCGGCTATTTAGACAAGAACAACATGAACCACTTCATTTACGACAAAATGACGATGCCTCATATATTTTTCCAAATTTCAAAAAGCAGGGCTGGAGCCGATGAGGGTTGCCTACGTATCCCACATCCGGTGAGAATCAAACCCGCGTAGTTCGGCCAATTTTGACACAACTGAAAAAATAAAAACACCTTGAAATGATTTTTCTACTCTTTTTCTCTCTTTTTTTTCAAAGTTTTTGGCAGAGTATCGGGATGTTTTGGATACCGGATTTTGGGCAACGGGTGAAATTTTCTCTCATTCTCCGCACTTGGTATCTTTTTTCTATCAATTTTTTCTGGTTTTCCTCACTTAATCTAGAAGCCGATCAACATGCAGTCCGAAACAAATTAAATGCACAGGTAGCACATAGAAATGCATCAGGTTGGTCTTTTATTTTCGGGTACGCCTGTCCTAGACGGACTCAACCCCTGTGTTGAGTCCCCAAAATCAAATGCATATGATGCAAACAAGCATTCCTACTAGGGATCTGTCATGAGGCTGAGTTATTCTAATTTCAAAACCTGGGTATGCTGTTCTAGACTTGTGTACCCGAGCGGACAACTCGAGCTGAGGGGGGCTACATACCGGGAACCAAAAGGCCATTCGGCTTTGTAACTTGTCCGAGCCTCTTCCTAAATTAAGGTATGACACTAACAGAAAAGGAGTCACGCCAGCGTGCACATCCCCGAAGATGAGAAGAGAAAGGTTTCGTAGCAGTTTATATACAGTTCAGATAATATCAAAACGGTAAAAAGCAACATTTAGCATATTAGGCCCAAATATGTAATTAAAACCAGATAATAAATAAAATCCAAATATAACAATTATTTTGAGCTCGAATTCTTGAACCCTGAACTAGAGATTCTGGGTTCGGTCCCCAGCAGAGTCGCCAGAGCTGTCACACCTCCTTTTTCCTACACTTGAAAGGGTATAAGGGAGTTTTTTCCAATTTAAGTGATAATCGAAACGAGATTATTTATTTAAGATTCAGAGTTGCCACTTGGGATAGTTTATGGTGTCCCAAGTCACCGGTTTTAAATCCCGAATCGAGGAAAGATTGACTCTGTTTTACAGTCCGCGAACACAGAAATCTGGGTAAGGAATTTTGTTAACCCGGGAGAAGGTGTTAGGCATTCCCGGGTTCCGTGGTTTTAGAACGGTCGCTCAACTATTATTATTGGCCTATTTATCTAATTTTAAAACATCTTTGAAACATATGTGCATTTTTATTCCTTTTAAACCGCTTTTAATAATTTAATTGTTATACAACTAATTATTTGATTACACATTGCGAATCATGTCACGGGAATCGTACCCACGATCCACAACGTGTTTATTTATTTAACAAGATCAAATTGTGGCCGGGTCACATAAATGTACCCCCAAATTTTAGAAATTAAAGCATCACAACTACATCACAGGAACCGTACCATAGCTATGACAATTATTCAATTAAACGCACCTAAAGAAAACTACGAGAGTGCAAAGCGTTTTCTAAACTAATTTTGTATTTACGTGAGAGCCATATGTTATGGATTTTATTTGTGTATAGCGCACCTCAAATTATCTTAAAGAAAAGGTTTGTATATTTTTTTTGAAGGCAAACTAAAGATATTCCTACTTATATCTGATTTAAAAAATTAAGTATCACAATCACGTCACGGAAACCGTACCCGTAGTTGTAATAGTTTAAATACGTGCCTAAAGCAAACTACGAGATTTTTTTATCCAAGTTATAAATATGACGGCCATAGGTTATATGATTCAAATGTATGAATGGCACTCCTCAAAATTAAATGAACCACGGATATTCTTATGAAAACTAATTTGAATTAGGTGTCACAACTACGCCACAGGAACCGTACTCGTAGCTATGATAACTTATTATAGCACGCCTAAAGCAAGCTACGATAATTATGAATTATTTTCCTATTTTGAGATTATTGCCAGCCATAAGTAGGATACTTCTTGATAAGCACATATTCCATAAAGCCCAAATATAGTTCAAGCTTTTTGCATCAGCAGTATTCTCCTTCCTTAACAGTTATTTCAACACAAAAGGAAAGATGTTCATAATGTTGCATCAACACAGAAAAGGTGAGTTGGCAAATGGGGAGGAGGGTACGAAAAAGAGGACTTATCAGATAGAAAAGAAAACAAAGTTAACATTGAATTGTACAAGCAACCTACAAGAAACAGAAATAATATTTATGAATATAAGCCTTGCACATGCCCTTCACTTCCTAAGTTTCAACCAAGTTCCAAAATGTTCCACTATTTTAAAAGTATAATTTGAAAAATAAGGAGAAACATATAACTCATTAAGTATACAGACCAACTAAAAACTCATTCAAAATTTCAACATATTTGCAGCTACCATAAATTTAGCGATACAACAAGAACTCTTGACAATGACCAATGGATGCACCAGTTATAGAATTCCAACTAACAGTAGTAAGTTTAAACGAGCCTTTATCTAACTTATCGACGACCAAATGAAACAGAACTCAAAAGGAGATCACAGAACATCTATCGCAGCCATGAATGAACTCATTAACAGCTTACACATCCAAGAAAAACGATCAGAATGGAAAGCTCTTCTCAAAGTTCATAGAAATGAGGTAGTTCAAACCTGGGCATTCCTTGTCCACCACATCCCAAAGAAATATGTAAAAGTTATCAAACAGTTTGTAACACAAGAAAATGAGCGTGATTTCTAAAGGATGAAGCTAGCTAAATGTTGTTGTCGACCAACTAACAAAGCAGAATAGGACACACGATCATGTTGCCAATTAACTATGATTTCTAAGCTTAAGATATGCACCACAAACCTTTACAATCTCAAAGGATAAAGAAAACAGAATGCCAAAGAACTAGTGACAAAAGCAGCAAATTTACCATTCCTAAACATGAAGGTCACAGTGCAGAGTTTGGCTCCCTTAAACTGTACAATAACTCCCTAGCCAGTACAGAACTTCTAGTGCAGCTAATACTACCACAACAGATGCAAAACTATAACTCAAGCTAGCATAAATCGCAACTGAAACTAATTAGAAATGCAACAAACTGGACAGAAACATGTACAAATTAAAGGAACTGAACTTGCAAGATTTCCTTAATACACTTTAAGGCACAGCCCATCGAATCAACTTCATACAATTCTCAGTCAACAACACTCCAAATCAGTCCCCATTTGAATTCACATTTCCATAAAAAAACATAACCACTCAAACAACCATGTTCAAACTCAGAAAATCAACTCAAAGCTCAACCAAGCTTCCCAAAATTGTTCAGTGATGTTAATTTTTTCTTCTTTTGTATCCAGAAATTGATTTATACAAACAAACATTTCATCTCACACGAAATAGAAAAATAGAAGAGTTTGGAAATGAAATTGAAAATGAACTGTCGATTAATGCTATTTAATGATTACAACGATTCTCAGAGGAAGCGAGTCCAAACAGAGATTGCACGAACTCACGAACCAGCAGCTAATGAACAACGTTGGAGAAGCTCAAAACCAACAGCACTCAGTCAACTTCCCTTAACTCAAAATGAAATCCACAAAACGAACTCAGCCTTCGAGCTCAATCCAAACTAATCATGAAAGTGAAAATTATGAACTTCAAGATGAAGAGAACAAAGGGGCCAAGATTAAACAAAACAAAAACAATTTTTTTTTGTTTTATATTTTTCTATTGTAACTGGAATTAAACCAAGATGGTTTCAGATGAATAAAATAGAAAAGAAGCTTTCTTAGAACCCTAATTTCCAAGTGACCTCTTGTTGATACCCAAAATTTTCCTATATATTTTTCAATATACAAAATACCTTCAAAATAGCATATGTATGCATATATAAGTATGTTCAAATATTTTATTATTTTTCCTTAATTTGTAAAGGTTTTTAAATCAATTTATTTCCCTATTTTATCCATAAAAACTTAATAATTATTCTCAAAATTATTATTTTTGGTAATTCATTTATTGGAATTTTACATTTATGCTAAAATATTGCTAATATAATTTTAGCATATTATTAAAAATTTATTTAGTATTTTTAAAGCTAAATTGCTTATAATTGCAATATTAGCCTCTTTTAGGATTTAATTGCGTTTATATTCATGAAAATTAAGTCCAGTATTTTTAAATTGATAATTATATATTATAAATCATTTTAATACTTTCAATTTATTTCCAAAAGTTAATTTACTATTTTTATAAAATAAATAGGGGAAATGGCTATTTAAAAATCTAGCCAGATTGGCTTGCAATTTCAGGCTAACATTAAGCCCAAATCAGACCCAATTTCCCAACCCAATTGCAAATCAAACCCGACCTCTAACCCATTTAAACGACCCAACCCGGACTCCCCACCTAACCCCTTTAATTCTAGTCGTTGATCATTTAGATCAATGGCCCCTATACGCCCTTTCCTTTTTAACCTTTAGCGACCCCTAAACCTACCTCATTTCTCACCTACCGCCGCCCTTGAATCCCTCTTCTCTTACAACTCTCTCTGAAACTCTTACGAACCCTAGCCACCGCCATCAAACTACACCCTAACCCACCATAATACCTTCCTAATCCATGGCCCCTCGTGGTCATTTGAGACATGTATCAGCCTCTCATGACTCTTGGGTGTTTGTTTTTGTGTGTTTCATGGCCAGTCCTCAAAGGAATCTGGTCTAGTCCTTGCTGGACAGTTGTTCATGGCTTTTCTCCGCCATCCACGACCTTTCTCCGCCCATCAACGACCTTTCTCCAGCCATTCATGGCCTTTCAAGGCAGATCCTTGACTTTCCTGGTTAGATCGGAAACTTTCAAGGCCTTCTCACCTTTTCTAGGTTTTTCGAAACCCTCATCTTTAAGATCTTTTGATTTTCTTTCAAATCTACTTTAGATCTGTACTTGTTATGAATGGTTTTAAGTGTTTTCTCGAAAGTTCTTCAACTTTTCTTCAAAACGACCCTTCATTTTCTCCGATTAGGGTTTCTGTTAACCTCTCTTTTAAAAAATCTCTTCTTTGATTTTAACATGTTTGTGACTTTGCTATGTGTCGCTCATGTCATTCTTCTATATGTTTCAGCATGTTAAAACCTTAGTTCCTTTTTGGGTCTCATTCGAGTTCTGAAGCTGTTTGTTAAATGTGTACTTGTTTGAGAAGTTCTTATTTGACTTATTTGTTTTACCATCTTTTAAACTCCATTATTGTGGAAAACCCTAGGTCTTTGGGTCTGAAACTGTTTGTTTGAATGTATACTTGGCTCGATTGAAAGTTTCTTGCTTCAGACTCTCTTTTCTTTATGTGACTTATCTGGTTTTTACCATCTTTCAACTCGACTATGGTTGAAACCCTAACTTCTCGAAAGGTTTCCTCACCTGTTAGTGTGAGACCTTTACTTGTTTTAACTCTCTTCATTCACTTTGGCTATACGTGTGAGCCCTGACTATCTAACTTTGTTCACTACGGAATCCTATGCTTATTTCTGCTACTATTGTATGTTGTTTCTTTTGCTAATGTGCTTGGTCTCGCATGTCTGATGCTTCTGTTCACTCTATTTATATGCTGAAGTTTCTTCCTTAATTGATCTTGATCTTGTGACTGATTTCAAGAGCTTTTCTTATATGAGCCCTGATTTCACTCGCCTGTTTAAAATTAATTAATTCCTTTCCCTTTACTGTGATGTTTTACCTTGCTGAATCCTTTCACAAAATAAGCATATTTTTGTACTCAGACTTGATTATTCACTGCATGCTTTTACTACCCTTATATGGCAATAATCAATCTATTCCCAAACTGATTTCTTCCCTTATTTGAACCTGTTACTACTCGTTAAATAGTGATTCCTTAATTAAATGGAATCACTTGTGTAATTATTCTGACTTGTGATTATTTTCATGTTTGTATCAAGACTTTACTTATTACCTCTCCTTCACTTGTTTTCAAAAAAACTATAAATACACTGCACCCCTCTTCTTTCAAAAACACGAACGAACCATCTAAGTTCAGAACACACACTTCACTCAAAACTCTCTCTCTTTTCTCTATTACTACTTGTGTTACTGCTTTGTCTAGCCAGCTGAAAGCCAAAGCTAGGCTGTGGAAAATTGTTTACTTTTCCTTTCTGCACTATGTTGTTTACTGGTATGTCCTAGTTAATCTTCAAGCATCAACAACAACATGTTCCTTTAACTGATTCCTTCACTCTTGTCTGTTTCTGCTTATGTTTATGCAATCAAGTTTCATTACTAAGCATGTTGTAAATTAATGTGTTCTCTTTTGTATGTACTATATTAGTCGTTTGATTATGTGATTTGCTGACTTATGAATCCCAAACCCCATATCCCTTATGTGTTTGTGTTCTCTGGCTGGTTTGTGGGCATGTCAGCATCATCTATTATTGTGCATGTCCAAACCTGACCCCTTCTAGGGTCATATGCTTCATGCAATGTATTCCCAAACCCCTGACCCTTTTGTGCAACTGTTGTTCCTGTGTAGTTTAAGTTTCACTACTACTATTTTCAAATTACCCTTACCCCTTACTATTCTCAACCTAGTTTTAAATAAATCTCTGTTTCTGCACTTCCACTACACTCTTAGAACCTAGGTTTTTCCCCTCTTGTGTGAGCCTTGCCTTGGGACCCATGAGCTCCCTCTGAACTTGGACACATAAGGGTTGGCCCTTCCACACTGCACTCATCTCTATCTGGTAATGCAAACCTGGGTGTAAGCACTGCCCGAGGTCCCTTGAGACCCTTAGGGAGCTTTGACACACCCAGGTCTGAGAAAGGCTTTGAAACAAGTGTGTTTGAGGTGGTTTGTTCCATAACTCAGAGAGGAAGTCAAGAATCAGGCTTCCTCTGGTTGTAACTTCTTCCTTTACACTTTTCTGATATAATTCAATATTTGTTCTGTAATAATTTGTAACAAATATTGGGGTTGGCTAGGGAAAAAGGGATTGGTAATTATGCATGTTTAGCTATTAGAAGAGTAGAGAATATGTCTATATGATTTGTTTCTTTAAATTCTGCATGTTTTGATTCTACATTTAGATAACATGCCTATAGGACTTGTTTTAAATTCTGCATGTTTTAATTCTACATTTAGATAACATGCCTATATGACCTGTTTTAAATTCTGCATGTTTTATTACCACACTTAGACACCATGCCTATAGGATCTAAACGGCTACAATTAGACATTGTGTTCATAAGGTTAAAATCAGTATTTTCATAGAAATCATGTCTATAGGAACTTCAAGTAAATCCTGCCTGCTTCGTTTCACGTTCAACTAGATATCATGTCTATAGGAACTTCAAGTAAATCCTGCCTGCTTCGTTTCACGTTCAACTAGATATCATGTCTATAGGAATTAAAAAATCAGCGATAATAGAGATCATGTCTATAGGATCTGAAACCAGTCTAGTTTAAAATCAGTTTAACTCGTACTGTTGTAAACTAGTTTTAAACAACCTACTCCCCTTTTATTAATACGGTTTAGAAAGCATGCCTATAGGATCCCAAATAGCTCGTTTAAAATTGTCACTACTTTGCTACACTCTGAATTAGTAATAGATATCATGTTTATAGGATTTCACCAAACACACTTAGGCAAGCCTTAGGTGAAAACAGCAAAACTGAATCCGCCTTTGTTAATTAGCAACTGCTACAATCAGCAGGCAGGCTTGATTCGGACTTCTTATCTGAGTTATGTAATAAAATGGTCTACTTCAACAACTAAAACTCCCCTTAGTACTTTAAATTCTGACCATAAATGTGTTTAAGTCATGCTATGTATGTGCTTTACTTGAGGAGGTATATATGAGCCTCTTAGTTGCTTACATGTTTAAGTTCTGACCTTAAATGTGTTTAAGTCATGCTATGTATGTGTTTTACTTGAGGAGGTATATATGAGCCTCTTAGTTGTTTACATGTTTCCCCAATATGCAGTCCTATGTGTTTTGAATGTCACCTTAGTCTTTTTAACTTTAAACCTAAGAGTCAGCCTAAAATCCTCCTTTTTATAATAATAGTAGTCCTAAATTCCTCCAGGACTGATAGGAATGGGACGGATAATAGCATGCGATAGAGGTCGAGACCAATCCACGCTTTAATACCTTAATAGGGTGGGAACGGTAGATATGAATATGATGACCGGTGCGCTAATACCATGTGTATCCCTATTCTGAGGAGTGTCATACCGGGTATCGCATTGATGTGATCCATATTATAAATAAACCTAGGACCCCCCCCC